ATATATAAATATAAAGAATTATATATATATAAATAAAACCATAAACCATCTAACGCAGCCTTCTTTATTTTTTTTTTTTTGTTAGTGGTTTTTGCCTTAGGACACATGTGTTTGTTGGAGAGAGTCAGAGACAGTGAGAAATCATCCCCCGCGGGGTGGCCATGTGTAGTCCCTTCTCCTCCCGGGATCTTGGGAATGCACGCACACATCCCTGGCATGATTTTCTACTGCCAGGTCTGGGACTCAAACCGTAGTCTGCCATGTGGGAATCCAGTCATGTAACCACTACGCCATCTGCTGACCCTGGTAGCTGTTTTTCCTGTCATCAAAATATTTGTCAGGATTTGAGTTTATTGTTTTTCTAAGTTCTTTCACCTTTTAAAACTAATTTTAGAAACAAAGGTTGCTTGTGTTTTTAATTTCCACTCACATCATCTGAGATGAGAAGAATTTTAGAGAAAGGAAGCCCAGAACAGATGCATGCTCCTGCCCCCTCCTGTGTGGTATCCTGTAGTGACTTGGAACTCTGCAGAGGCCCCTCCAGCAAGAAGGTCCTCACTAGATACAGTGCCTTAACTTTAGACCCCTGGAACCATGAACCAAATAAGCCTTTATTCTTTATAAATTATCTAGTCTATGGTATTTAGTTATGACCACAGAAAATCAGGCTGAAGTAGATGGGTATGCCACTTACCCAGTTTTGATCATTATACATTATATGCATGTATGAAATAATCACACTGTAACCCATAAATATGTATAATTATGATATATCAGTTAAAATTCTAACCCCCCCAAAAATACATCCATAGATTAAAAAAGGATGTCCAGTGACACATTAAAAATAACAACAGATTTGGGAACCAGCAGTTAGCGTAATGGCTATGTCGCTGGACTCCCACGTAGTCGACTGCGGTTCGTGTCCCGGACCCGGTGGCTTGAAACTCACGCCGGGCGCGTGTGCATGCGTGCCCAAGATCCCGAGAGGAGAATGGAGGAGAAGGGATTGCGGCGTGACCATCCCCCCTGGGGGGTGATTTCTCGCTTTCTGTCTCTATGTCTCTCTCTGTCTGTCTGGCGAGCGCACGCGCCCTACAGTGAAAATCTCTCCAAAAAAAAAAAAATAAGTAACAACAGATTCAGATTGCAGTGATGTCTATCAAAAAGGAGAATCTCAAAGATACAGTTCATATTCAGGCAATGGCAGCTGAGCTTTACTTTTAAATAAGCAAGTTAAGTTTTTTTTAATTAATAAGTAATAATAACCCTAATGCTTACCCTAACTCTTCAGTACCATATGAGGAGATTTCAAGAACTTAAAGTATGAGTTTATTTTGGTACAAAAAAATTTTGAATCCATGCATACATAGTTTTAGCATAATGCATTTTCCATGAACTTTTTGAAAGATCCTGTATATTATACTTTATATTTTTCTTCCTATTAAACATAAAAAGATTGTATAGTTTTGTCTGTGGAATTTCAGTGCATCTGCATGCCCTCCCAAAAAATGGATGTGCAGATAAATAAATGGTTTACACACAAGCTAGATTTGATTTTGAGTAGACATTTTATGACTTGTTAAAGCTCATCAAAGATATTATTAGGACCATACTTCCAGGATAATGTTAGCTAATGTGTTAACATTGTAGAGTTCTGTATAAAAGCCAACCTCAAATTATTTCCATTATTTGATATATTGATTAAAAATTTGTTAATAAAAAGAGGCATTTGGTAATTTAGCAGAACTAGTCATCTTCCCATATAATTTAAACAAAGCGAGGTATTAAGTTAAATCCCTCAACTACATCCTAATTGTAACATGCTTGTTATCAGTGTTTTAAGTCTTTTCTACAGCTTTAACACTAATAAATTATATTTATTGTTTACTTACTATTATGTTTACTGCATTATCACTAGATGTAGAGTACAGGTAAAGTAAGTAAAAGAACATGGCGTAATTAGATCTTTATCTGATGATGCAAGCCAAAATTATTTTTGATATTACAAGTAAGTTGCGTTTTACTCCTTAGTTCCATCGGTGAATATGATAAAGCGATCCAGGCTTTTAAGTCAACACCCCTTGAAGAGTTGGAAGACATCATAGGTTTTGCATTGGCTTTGTTTATGAAAGGGCTATATAAAGAGAGCAACAAAGGTAAGCACACTGCTTGAGGCTAAAGGTGCATCTTTTCCAAGCCGAGTGTAATTTAATTATGACGAACTTATGTACAGAGAAATGAAGTGCTGAGGTTGGGGTGGAGGTTACAGTGTTCTTTAAATCTGACTAGGAGTCAGGAGCGTTACTTGGCACTGATCTGCTACGTCAGCTAGTATATTGCTGTGATGAATAGGGCTTACGGTAGTGTTCTAAGCTGAGTGTTCATTGCACACATCAGGAAGTCGAAGCTCTAGATCATTTACAGTGGATGCCTGAGATAGCCTTTCAAAGGAGGTGCTTAATATTCTACATTGCTTACATGTGAATTTCCGATAAGTGAAGATTTGAATTATTGTTAGTAACAGATTTTGGTTTCCCTTAAAATGTTAATGGAGCACGTTTTTTTTTTTTTTCTGTAGGGCACATGCACCATGCACTCACCAGAGAGAGAGAGACAGAGAGAGAGAATGAGAAATCATCCCTCAGGGGGATGGTCACATTATAGTCCCTTTCTCCTCCAGTTTTCTTTTGGGATTTTGGGTATGGATGCACATGCACCCAGCCTCATAGCAGGCAGTGAGATCCCATGCCTAAACCCCCATGCCACCTGGTGGCCCCAGTTGAGTACATTTTCACATCTGTTGGCTAAGCCCACCTATGTACAGTTCATGTACTGCTTGGTGGAGGTGCTGGTCTGTACCTGGAAACTTCGGTGATACGTTAGTGGCTGTAGGCCTGCACTTCTGGCCCAAGCTGGCTCTTGAGGTAGTGACTCAGTCCCTGTAGATTCTGAAGTTAGAAGTTCAGGATTCTCATGTAATAATCCTAATGAAACTCCAGAATCACTTTAGGATGGCTAAACAAGTTAGATTATTAATAAATTTTTATTCCATTTGCTTGAAAACAAGGAAACAGGAATGCAGTTTTAATTAGATCTTTTTCTAAACAGTATTAGGAAAAGAAAAATCTAATTGTCAATTAGGATTGGTTTCATATATATATATATATATATATATATTTTTTTTTTTTTTCCCTTTTCTTTCCAATTCTGTTTTACACCCTATGAGAGAGCCTTGTCGATTGTTGAATCAGAACAAGACAAAGCCCATATCATGACAGCTCTGGCAATAACAGAATACAAACAAGGAAAAATGGATGTAGCCAAGACACTGCTGTTTAAATGGTATGTAGAGCTGACGTCGACACTTGGTGTGACTAGATACTTAAATATTTGGCTTAAGATCGGAACAATGTAAAATGAAGTTGTTAATGTTTTAGGAACTCCTGGTAAAGAAAAGATACTTATGTGGTTCTGAATCGGTGATCACAGGTGGAACTAGACATCATGGCTTACTTCTTAGCCCTGGGTCCATATAGTCCTTTAAAAGCATCCTCTACTCAGTATTATTTACTTTTTTAATAGAGTAGGTCTTAGATTATCAAGTGATCATTAGGTGATCTAGTAGGGTCTTAAAATTTTTTTTTAATTTATTTTTATTTATTTTACATACTTTCACTGGACATTACCACAACCTCTGTTCGCTGGACATTCCCACAGCATACAAAATGTGATTTTCTAGCCAGAATACACTCTAGAATGGCTTAAACATACATGTTATTGTCAACAAATAATTTTCTATTTCTTGTTTCGTGTGTGTGTGTATGTTTCTTGTTATATATGTATATATATATGTATATATATATATTATATATATAAAATATAAATAAGCGAGAAATCACCCTCTCCCCCCCAGGGGAGATGGCCACACTGCAATCCCTTTTCCTCCATTCTCCTCTCGGGATCTTGGGCACGCATGCACACGTGCCCGTTGTGAGTTTAAGCCACTGGGTCTGGGACTCGAACTGCGGTCGACTACATGGGAGTCCAGCGACATAGCCATTATGCTAACTTCTGGTCGCAAGAGGAATGCATTTTTTTAAAATAATTGTTTATTTTATTTATTCATTCACTTATTTTTTAGTTTGAGCAGAGAGAGACAGAGGGTGAGAATGAGAGAGAGAGGAAGTGAGAAAGCAAGCTACCAGATTCAGGACTTGAACCCTGGTCGGCTATGTGAGAGTGTCCAGCGCCTTAACTACCACACCCCCTGCTGGTCCCTATACACAAAATTTCTTAATTAATCTAAATACTTTCAATAGTAGGTTCACCTGATATATACATATCTGTGAACAAAAGTTGACTTTAGCCATGAAACTCTGTGGATAGAATGAATATACTATAAAATAGCACATAGCTGAGGCTACATAGCTTACTGTGGTTACCAAATAGGTATTTTTTTAAATACACTTTTTAATTTCAAGAAAGGCAGTTTTAGCTTTAAAAAAATAAAAAATGTTAAGTGAACTTTGCTTAATACTTAAAGCCAGGAAACAGGTTAGGATTCTGTATGAATAGTAAGGTACATAGACCTGTCCACAACTTAGGAAAAGAGAAAACTCCTTCTTAACACTGGAAAACAAAGCATAGAAAGTCAGTAATGTTTTAGTCAAGTCATAAAATTCTATGTCACCAGTTCTAGCTCACGTACTTTATCTTCTGCTGTGGTCCAATTTCTCTGTTTAAATTCAGAAGATAATGTTCAAATCTGTACTTGTCGCTGCCATTAAGTTGGTCGTTTTCTTAGCTATTTTAGAACTCTTATTTCTGTGTGTCTGACTTTAGTTTTTCTGGGATAGCACTCCCTTCACAGCTTCTTAGAGAGCTGGTCTGGTGTTGGTAAATTCTTTCAGGTTTTGTTTATCTGAGAATATTCTTGTCTTCTCTTACCATATGAAGTATAATCTTGCCGGGTATAGTATTCTTGGTTGAAATTGTTATTCACTCAACACTTTGAATATATTTTCCCATTCTTTCCTTGCTTGCATTGTTCCGATGAGAGGTCTGCTCTTAGCCTGATGGGATATCCTTTGTAGGTAACATGACGTTTCTCTCTTGCCAGTCTGAATATCTTGTCTTTGTCTGTGGTTTTGGTCAATCTGGGTGTAATGTGTCTTGGAGAAGATCTTATTGGGTTGATCTTATTTGGGGTCCTTTGTATTTCTTAGATCTGGATCTTTGAATACCTCTCTAGCTTTGGGAAGTTTTCTTCCAGGATTTTATGGAATAGATTGTCAATGCCCTTATTAGTCTCTTCACCTTCTGGGATACTGATTTTCCGGATGCTTGGACGTTTAATAGTATCTAGTATTTCCTGTATATTTTTCTCAATTTTTTGGCTATTTTCTCAGTCTTCATGGTGGATTTTACTAGTCCAGTGATCCTGTCTTCTGTATCTGAGATTTGATTTTCTGTGTGATCTAGTCTGCTTTTAATACTTTCAAAGAGGTTTTGACTTCCTGTGATATAGCCTTCATCTCTAACAGTTCCATTTGACTCTTTTTTTTTTATGTTGTGTGTACTTCCTCTTTCAGCTCTTGAAAGAGATTCCTCACCACCTGGGACTCATCGACTTTTTTCTTCTGGTGTTCATTGTCCCTCTTCTCTTCCATCTCTGTTAGTTTTGTCATTATGAATACTCTAAATTCTTTATCAGACATTTCCATGATTTCCATTGTACTGTCTGTGGATGAAGAGGAGTTATTCTTTTCCCTAGGGGGTGAGGTATTTTCTTGGTTTTGCATATTTCTTGTGACCCTGTGGTGATTTCTAGTCATCTGATGGGTTATCTGTTTCTTCCTAAATTCTAGAAGATCAGTCTGAGTGATCAGAGGTACATAGGAGGATGTGGTCTGCAAACTCTTTGGCGTTGTGTTTTTCTCCCAGGGTAGTTTCTCAGCAGAATCTCTTCATTGCTCTTATCTCCGAAATCACTAGATCTCAACTCTCATGGTGGACTCAGTCTTCTTCTGGCCTGCCTACTTCTTTTTTTTTTTTTTTTGCCAGGGTAGATTCTCAGTAGAACATCTTCATTGCTCTTATCTCTGAAATCACTCGGGTCTTAAAATTTTAATAAAGGCAGTTGTGACTGCATTGTTCTTTTGCCTCTTGGATGTCCCAGAGAGATTTATTTTCCTCTTTCCTTTTGAAGTTACCCTGATAAGTTCTTTTAAGGTGAGTGTTTTAAAAAAATGGTACCAACAGAACTTGCAACTATTTCTATGTATTTGAAGAAAGTTAATAAAACAGCATCCTATAATATCTGTGTTTTCTTAATATATTATTTTTTCACTTCTTGGAGTTTATTTTATTTTTGTTTTTCATATTTTTTAAAGAATTATTTTATTTTACTTTATTTATTTATTTGTTTATTTATTTCCATTTGACCAGAGAGGGACAGAGTGAGAGAGGGAAAGTGAGAAATCAAGCCGCCAGGTCTGGGACTCGAACCACAGTCAGTCATGTGGGAATCCAACACCCTTAACCATCCTGCCACCTGCTAGCCCCTCTTCTTATTTTTTTTTAAACATTTGATCACTGTACATCATTTGGCTTATAAAGAGAATTTACCCAACATGAAATACATCTCAGACCAGTCCAGTTGAGAATACTATACACATTGTCATCAATAGGTAATAAACCATTTCTGTGTCCCACAAATGTCTTGCCTCTCTATTTTTCCTTCCTAATATTCTTCCTTTCTCCTACCCTCCTTGTACATGGTCTCCAGTGTCCACAACTATTTTCACTACTTTGATACCCTCCAATCTTTCAGTCTCTACCATAGAGTGTGGACAGTTGGTATATATTAAGTGGAGACATACAATATCTTTCTTTCATGTCCTGACTTTCTTCACTTAGCAATAAATCTTCCATATTTAACCACTTTCTATCAAATGGAATTTTTTTAAGTTGATCTTAATCACTTCAAAAGCAGTAGATGTATAGACATCTATGCATAGGTGATTACTACATGTTGTTGAACAGTGGTTTTCAATGAGGGCTTTGTTGGCATTTTGGATGGTGCAAATCCTTAGAGTGCAGATGTGTTCCTCCATTGCAAAGAGGTTCTATCCCTGCTTTCCAACTATTAATGCTAGTAATGCTCTTCAGTTACTATGAAAATCAAAAAATTACCCCATAATTGTTCTTCCTCAAAGATGAGGAGAAGGAGATTATTAGCTATTACTAATTGAGAACAACTAGGATAAACTTTATATAATGTTTATTTACTGTGATGTGTTTTGCCTATTTTGCCTGACTAAAGTCATTTTCTATATAATAAATAAGCAGTTCTTTCTTCTTCTCTTTGCTGTTTTGAGAACAACCAATCAGCTTAAAATCCTGTCACTTTAACAGTTATATCTTTGTAATGTGTATCTATGGCAATATATATCACACAAATTTGCAAATGGCTCAGTGACAGAAATCATAGATGTTAATGATTTCTGCAGTTATCATGAGCAAAAGTAACCCCAAATTAGATGCAATTAGATTAATCTTGGGTTATTTCTTAAAACAGTAACCAAAATCAGTTTGAATATTGATAGAAGTTGGGGGTGGGCACAGGATATGTTTTCCAGCCTTGTTTTATATTGTTGGATTTAGGGCCAAGTATATTTTCTAATCTATTTATTTTTGAATCTCTGCATGTCATCATCCAAACTTCACATTATCAAATAGTCCTATCCCTCCTCCATGGCATGCTCTTGACTTCTTTTGTATGTTCTTTGTTGATTTTGTTTAGCATTCATATTTTGGGAACCTAGCAGTGCTTATTTAAAGGGGATAGGAGTGAGTTTATTATATAAGAGAATATCTGCTTACCAACTTTATAGACTTTGTGATACTAAATAACCACATGTAAAATCCCATTCTACTCTAGTGTTGCCCATATAGGAAATAGATGAGTCTTGGTGATACATATGAATAAAGGTTGGGCTGCCCACATGCCCTAGTCATTAAACCAGATTCCATATGATCAAAATGCAGTTTGAATCCTGGCCCAGGGAGCCTGTAAAACATGTCAGGCACTTGTATATATGTGCCTAAAATCCAGACAGGATAGAGAAATGGAGGAGAAAGGATGGTGGCATGACCAAACCCCATTGCAGGGGTGCTTCCTTCTCTCCCTCTGTCTCTCTCTGGTGAACATGTGTATCCTCTGATGATTTAAAAAAAAAAAAAGTAGAAAAAGAAAGAGCAGAGGTTTTTTTTTAGCTATAGTTTGGAGGTCCAAGGCTCAAGGGCCACACCTGGTGAGGGCCGTGTCCTTAGAGAGTTGGTGCAGGGCATCACATGGTAAGAGCATGAGCAGAGCCAGAGTGCCCCTGTCTATGTCTGGGTATCTATTTCTCTCTCTCACACTTCCTCTCTTATAAACCCACCAGGATTCGATCATGGTGTCCCCACCCTGAGGACCTTAATCCTAAACACTCCAAAGGCCACTTCTTTCAACATCATAGTCAGATTAAATTTTCACCGTCTTAATCTTGTCATAACCAGAACCAAATCTCAACAACAAATCTCATTGAATCTTTGGAAGACACATTACAGATACTGCCTCAAATCCTAACAGGATGGAGCCGTAGAGAAGTGGTTATGGTGTGGCCATGCCCCAGTGGGGAGTACTTTCTCTGTCCCTTCTCTCTGTGTTTCTCTGGCCAGTGCACATGACAGTTCATGGTTGCATACTTGTCAGAATAAGTGCCAAACACTTTATTTCCCCATTCCAAAAAATAGTTCAAAGACACAGTGATAGGTATACACATGTGTTATAATGAACTTTCTTTACAAATTTGTTTAAAATTGTTTTGTTTTATTATAGTATAAAATATATAATGATTATAAGAAGTATTTATATAAAACGATGGTTTCAATACCACAGAGCAAATAATACAAAGCTTTATCAGAATATTAAAAATCAGATCTTAGATTGAAGAGATTCTTTTTTCCTTATTATTCATATTGTTAAAAACTTTTAAGTGACTGGCAGGTGGTGTGGTGGTTAAGGCACTGGATTCTCACATGGTTGACTGCATTTTGAGTCCCAGACCTGGTGGTTTGCTTTCTTACTTTTCCTCTCTCCCTTTCTCTCTGACCAAATTAAAAATAATAATACATAAAATTAATTAAATATTTTTTAAAAAAGATTTTCTCGAAACATTTTAAGCCAGATTGTCCTAATTATTTACCTAAAACTGAGACCGAAAGAGTCTGATTTTTATTCATTTCTAGAACTTAGATATTATGACCAGAAAGCAATTTGGTTATTGTTCACCTGGTTCAGACAACTGGGAAAATTTCTGTCTCTAAATGTTTATCTTAAAGCTGAACTTAATTTGGCGAATCTTTAAGTAAACAGTTTTGTACTAAATATTAAGTGTTGTTTTAATAGTTGCAGATAAAGACTACTGTAGTTACGGCTAACAGGCAAGTGAAAACTGTATTTACAGCTCTATTTTAAAGGAGCCAACCACAGAAAGCCTTCAAGCCCTGTGTGCTCTAGGACTGGCCATGCGGGATGCTACGCTGTCAAAAGCAGCACTTAATGAGTTACTGAAGCACGACAAGCGCCGAGACAGCAATTACCCACGGTGCCTTCTCACTTCAGCCATTTACGCCCTGCAGGGCCGCAGCGTGGCGGTGCAAAGACACATATCCAAAGCCGTTCACAGGTAAACTCTATTTGCGAGCTTGGAGCCTAATTACATTTGATATGCTTGTGTTCGACATTTGGGCTTTCAGACTATAACATGAAGTAAGCATCTTTATTTGGAAATGAAACCCCGATTTTATGAAATTGTACGTAGGACCAAGTAACTGACTAAACATGTTAATTCACCTATAAAGTTTATTTATTTATTTTTTTTAGTTCCAGCCATAAATTTGGCCCTTACTCAGGATAAGGCCCAAACCTGTTTTGGTGTAAAAGCCCTTCATTCCCAAGTTTGTAATAATGTCAATCTGTTAGCCGATACTGTCTAGGTTGATGGTTTTAGGAATGTCAAGTTACTTATCTATTCATAGTGTCTTCAAAATTTGGAAAGTAGAAGCCTCATTAGCAGAGCTGCTTATTCTATTTTTGTCGGAAGGTGGTGTATCGATACTTTCTTTTCTTTCCATGGTTCATTCTTATTAATAATCTTTGCTAATCATATTTTAAAAATTTATTTATTTTAGTAAAAAGCTTATTCCTGGGCCAGCCAGTACTGGGGTGGTTAAGCCTGCTAGATCCCATATGGCTGACTTCATGGTTCAAGTCTTGCACCCAGTAGCTTGAAAAACACATTGGGTATGTGTGCGTGCTTTCCTAAAATCCCAAAAGCAGAAGAGAGGAGAAGGGATTTTGGTGGGACCATCCCTTTGGGAGATATTTTCTCACTTTCCCTCTCTCTCTTTCTTTGTCACTCTCTGGTGAGTACACATACCCTGTAGGAAATTTGAAAAATAATAATAATAAAACTTATGCCTTATGTCATTTCTATTAAAGGTCATCTTCCTACTATGTGATATCATTTAGCCTCTATTTTTAAATCTCTTTCTAAAAATTATTTTTTATTTAACTTTATTTATTTGTTTATTTATTTATTTTAGTTTGACCAGAGAGAGACAGAGTGAGAGAGAGGGAGAGAGACATTGAGAAAGACAGACACCAAGTCTGGGACTTGAACCATGGTCAGCCATGTGGGAATCCAGCGCCCTTAACCACCATGCCACCTGCCGGTTTTTAATCTCTTTATGTTTTCTTTTCAACACAATTTATTAAATTTCCTTGACTTTCTTAATTATTTCATGGCTTTGTAATTACATGACTGATTTTTCCTTATTTTCATAAGGATTATTGTTGTTTATAGTTGATATAAAGTATTTTTGTTTGTTTGTTGTGAGATTTTAGCAACAAGGTACATGCACTCACTGGACAGATAGAGACAGACAGCAAGAAATCACCCCCAGCA